TATATATATATATATATATATATATATATATATATATATATATATATATATATCAGCTTACAGAAACTCGAAAAATAAAACTTTCAGCAACTTCTACTTTGGATGATTTCCATCTTTTCTTTTTGCCTGTTTTTATGTTACTAGATTTAAATAAATAAGATAATATAAGAAGACTCAATGTTTCAACTGGTAATAATCTGCAAATAATATATAAATTATGCTAAATTTCTTCTATTTTTACATACCTCATATTTGTGCACAATTTGAAAATATAATAGTATGTTTTGTACAAAAAAGATTTATTTATGGTATTCAAAAATTATTTATATATACCATTTTTTACTTTGCACAATTAGGGACATATTTCTGTTTTCTCAGCAAGAAGTAGTATACGGAGCTATTTCAGGCCACTTTTTATGGAATATTAATGTATCTCTTCCTGTTGCTATTTGAAAATCAATCTGTAACTGTAACCTCTGACATTGAGTAACATTGTATTTTTAAGTTTAGGTATAGAACATTAAAATGTCATATACTCTTACAAGTTTAGTACCAATCGCAGTTTTTAGAATAGGATATTCATCATAATAATCTTTTAATTACAGATCCTCTATTTCTTTCTGCAAATGTTTCTTTCCACAAGCTTTCAAGATTTTCGTCTTCCGGTTGAATAGCACGTAATATAATCAATGCCTCTTCAGAAACAGAAGTTGTTTCAATGTTCTCTTTTTCACATTCATTTGTGTGTTTCTTCATAAAGGACCCTGCACAAAACCTATGGAAAATGGTTTTTGGTGAAATTGGGTGAAATTTCTCTATGTTATAGTTTTCGCCATGCTGATAAAAAGTTATCATTACAACAAGTCCCAAAAGTCAATATTTCCCAAAATATAAAGGGTCAAAGTAGTGAAATATGGTCATCCGCAGTAGTAAGACGTATGTTATAAGTGATACATTGATATTTATTCACAAAATAAATAATAATCGATTTTTACATATATATATATGTAATAAATATTTAGTTCCGCAATGTATATGTATATGAATATATAGGATGGGGCAAAAGTATCGGACAGGTGAAATATATCGAAAACTATAAGTTTTACAAAAAACTGTTTCAGATCTTAAAAGGATCTATTGTATTTACTGATTTTAGCAGATTGATCTTGGGTGGCGTTGTCAAGGTCAATAAGAATGATATTTTGGGGTTTTCGAGGATACTAATGATAAAAATTTTTGTTACAAAATGTTTTGTTACAAAATTTAAAATGGGGATTATAAAAGTGTTGAGTAAAAGAATAAAACGGCTAGGATTTTCTATATTATTTTATAAAACAATTAGAATGCGTCGCGTTAAGGCTCATAGTCCGATTTATATTCTTATTTTGCTTCCTTCTTATTTTTTAATTTTTTTTACTTTTTCACAATTTAAAAATTTTTTAAATTGTAAAATTTAAAATTTTAAAGTTTTATAAATTTTTTTAAATATTTATATATATTTTTTCAGTTTTACAACTTTTTTACTTTTTTCTCTTTATTCAAAAATTTTAATTTTTAGTAACTTTTTTACTTAACAATATTTTTTATTTTTAATTGTTTTATATATTTTATTTATTTCAATTTTTCGTTTTAATTTAATTAAATATATACTTTTTAACTTTTGTTTTTAAATTTCTGTTTCAAAATAATTTATTTTTCGTGTGATATAATTGTAAGCAAGGAATATTAGTGAAAGTTGCGTTTAAGAAAATATTAATGCAACCAATTTTATATATATATAGTTTTTGCAAGACTGATAATTTTACTAAATTTAAAAAATAATTTAATGTTACTATCAGCAATTATAATTATTATATTACTATAGGTTATAGTAAAAACATATTTCTTTATCAGAGTATTTTTAAAAACTTATAAAAATTGAGTTTCACGCAAATAAACACAATATTTGAGAAATTTTTATTTTTAGACTCGCCATTTTATGTCCGATATTTTGAATTTTGCGAAATTAAACATAATTTTGAAATCAACACGTCCGAAAACTATAAATAAACCTAACGGTAAATATTTTCCTTCACAGAAAAAGTTGAACCATTTTAGTATTGATTTCGAGAAAAATACAAGCGCTTTTTAACCACAAGAATGGTTGAAAAGTGATATAATTTAAGAGGCGTTATTGCTGACGAAACAATAGAACTTTCTATAGTATAAGAGGTAGTGTTAAGATTTGTTCTGTTCTTTGAAATACTATTTCATTTACTAATACAATTACTATTTCATTTACTAATACAATTACTAATACAATTACTAATACAGTTACTAATACAATTCTAATACAATTACTAATACAATACTAATTTATTCACAACATTCTTGGTAAGGCATTGTTATCAATTTTACCACTACAGGTAATTCGGTGACACTAAGAGAGAAGTCTTGTAGTCATTGATATCAACGTAGCGTCCGCAGGTAAAAAGGATTGCTGTAAAATGTCATCGAAAAAAGATCTTACATTTTATCGTAAATATATCGTTATCAAAGTAATTTGAATGGAAAGAACGACGGGATAATATCAAACATGACCATGTTAATGAGAGCGATTCCTTTTTCAATTTTACTCGTCCCTCATTGCGCGTTATACACACTTCTTCCGTCCATACAATTTCTGCGCATACTCCAGCCTACCTTGGCAATTTATACCTATCCATCCATGTACAGGAACACTCCCTAGTGCCGTCGATTTAGTATAGCGGTGCGCGCTTAACGCGATGCTACTATGCGGTGTATTGCGTGCAGCATTATCCGCATCTTTCAGCACCGTCGTGCAAATCGCAATTTTTTTACTGCAAAATTCGGATATCTCGAGAGTGCTCGCGTCCATGCCACCAGGAGCCGGTCAGTGAAAAATATATATAGTTTAGTATATCTCTAAAATAGCTACTTTTATCATAAATGAAAGAAACTTGCCTTAAACTGATAAATTATTTTCTACATAAAATATACGTATCATACACATCACCTTGAATCTTCGGAATTAATGTTCAATTCAGCTGGAATACTTCCTAAGGATATACTTAATTCAATTAAGTTTATAATCGTTTGGTTAAATCGACATTTTTTCCAACACTCGAATATCCGGCAATTTTTCTTTACTTTTATCACTTCGGTGTCAAGCAGAATTAGTGTCTCGTTGGAAAAAAAATCTAAAACACTTCCTCTTACTTGCTACTTATGTTGTATTAATTCTTTCATTATGAGCACACTCACATATCTAAAATGTATGCGCGTACGATTTTATTAAACAGCAGTTCTTCTTTACTTCGCATCACCGATTTATTTCGCGGTATATTTCACGCGCGTACACATAGCGTGTGTGTGAATCAAGCAGCGGCAGGCCGCGTATACGTGGTTGGTTCCACGTGCTCGATCGATTCCGGACAGCTCTTTCATAACGCGATACACGTGCACGTGAAAACACAAGCGCTCCACGTTCCGTGATCCCATTTCCGCAGAAGGTGCATTCTTCCGTGACCTTGTTGTCAATGTGCTGGCGGCTCGAGTTTCAGCTGGAGCAAATATTGCTAGCTTGCTAGACGCCAATCTGCAACATAACTTAAGTAATTCAGCACTATTGTGCAGGTGTGCGGCCCATAATCAATATTATTATCAGCACACATGTATACGTGTGTAAGAGTTACGTGCTCGCATACGGCAGCGCTATTCTGACTGCGTGATGGTGGTAAGACAGTGCGCTGTTTTCAATCGATAAACCATAAGCATAATTTATTGAGATACTTGGTGATTCTTTTAATCTTACATGTCGGTGTTGTGTTATCACGGACAGTGGAAGGCGACATGATCATGCTTTAGAAGGAGGTTACATGAACAGATTCTCTATTATTCGATACGTATATGTCGTAGGAATGCATCAGCGCGATGTTGGCTGTAAATTCGCAGGAATGCCAGCGATAATGCGATGGAATGAGCAGCGCGTTACACGGGAGTTAATGGCGATCAATTGCGCTCATTCTCACCATAGGAACTCCGTTTTCTATCGATTTAACACTACCATCATGTACTAAAAATACCTGAAACTCGCCGCGTGACTATGAACTCTGCGTATGCATGAGATGATTGAGAATGGACTTTTTTTAAAGATGACAAAGGGAAGGAAATGCGTTACATCGTTTTTCGTGTTAAAATTATTTATAAAAAAATGTACATATGCACAGATAGCGCGTGCATACGTGTAGTAGAACTATCGTGCGTTTCTTTTTCCTTCAGCTGTTTGCTAAAATCCGACAGGGACGAGTCACGGGAGCTCGTGCAAACAAAGTTGCAAAATTGCAAACGATCCGAGTACGCGATGCCAGGACGATGATAGTCTCGGACCGGAAAGTCAAACGAACCGTGAAACCAGGTCGTTGCGACAACGCAAAAAATTACGCGAAGAGAATAAACCGCGGACGTGTTCCGCGTAGTGTCATAATTGATCGACAATTTAAACAGTGATCAGTTGAAAAGCTGTCCTCGACCCAAAGTTAACTTCGTTCCGAGACTCTTGCTGCCCGCAGAGAATAGAGCTTTCTACTGATTTTTCACGGTTTCCAACGCTGCGAAACTTCCCCGAACTTTGGGATACATTATCCTCCCGATTATCGAAACGCTCGGTAGGTACAGAATAAGCGAACAACAGCGATTATTGTTGTCCTTTGGTCGCGAGGCGAAAATAAGTTTCGCTCACGCATATGAATGGATTGTGCAACTTTTACGACATCCGATCACGTGATCGCGTGATAAGGGATTTCTTTCTCTTAGCTTGCTCTGTTGTAGCCGGTCTTTATTATTGTATTTATTATGATCGGTTCATCCTCCGCGATGTCGTGACATCGCTGATAAGTCGCATGACGTCCGGTCATTGGCCTCATCAGCCTCGCGGAAAAGCTACAGTATAGTGTCTGTTTTCTTACCCTTCTTCCCTCGTAACATGCTTATGTAACTTTCCTCCGACACAGGACATGAAACCCTTCAATTCTGTAGAATGTTAAATTTACATTTCATTTGAAGCGGAGAGAATGTGTGTGTAAAAGCGCAATAATTTAAGATTATAACGTATGTAAAGGCACGTAACACACAATTATTTGATTTATATTATTTCATTGATGCTTAAGAGGATAAAAATTAACACAGAAGATTTAACCACTTTAGTAATATCGGTAATAGATTTTGTATCATGCGTTTATTGTAGTATCATATCTCGTAATATGTGTGTACACGTAAGAAATTAAAAAGCATTAAGATTATAATATTTGTTCAAATATAGAAGACGAGATTATCCTGATCGAGCACCTGCCAGGGCGGCGAGTGCATCTCCAGGATTTCTTCTGGACCGGTCTGGAAGACGCGCCACCATGGGTGGATCCAAATCAGGGTTTAACTTTTTACGAGACAAGAACGATCGTTCACACTGTCACGGTTTACACACCAACCGACGAGAAAGGTCCAAAGGATCATGCGGCACCTCATCATCCGGACGATCACAATCCGGAGTGCGTCATGTGCATAGAACCGACACCTAGACTGGATGATGATGAAGATCAGAGCATCGGGGTCCTAATCGGGGAGGACCCAGGTCCAAGGTAAGCAAAATGGATTAATATCATGAAATAACGCACATTGTTTGAGTTGAAAAAAATTAAAAATGAGTTTTTTGGAGGCAACTAAAAAATTCTTCCACGAACAATGTAATAATTATGTGTTTGTAAAATTTTTTGTCTCAAACAGTAAAAATTATATAATATCGTTAAAACTAATCAGAGTAGCGACTTTGTTATCGCTCAATAACGTGGAGCTCAATAACGAAGAAAAATGAAAGAATATGTTAACAGGTACTGGCTATTGACGGTTTTGCGGCCAGGTGAGGCCGTACCACCCAAAGTCGAGCTTCGTTTAGCGCGTCTATATCGAGCTGCATTTTCCAGACAACAACAACGTCACCTCGGCTTGCTGTCAACCGATCCGCGATCCCGCAGAAACGCGTTGTCACATGCCTATGCAGGCCGAAGGGTAAAATACGACGTCGTTTCATCGTTATTCTCACGAATTATGAATAAAGTTAATTTCTACCTTCCTTCGCCAATTGTATTAGTGCTTTTTCTTGATATGGGTTTTATTGCACATTCGAAATTTGCAATTATCGAAACTTGATATTCATGAGCTGCAAAAAAGTTTGCGTTATATTTGACATATTTCGCATATTCCGATTTATCCACTCTAATTTTTGTGTTAATTTAACATAAATATATCAGCAAATAACACAACTTATCTGTATACTTTACATATAAAATATGTCTTAACTAAGAATGTACATCTTATATATAATTTGTGTTATTTTAATACTAGGAAATAACGAATTTGTGAACTTAACGCAAAATAGTCCAAATAACACAAAGACAATATGTTAAATTAACATACGAGTATGTTAAAAATTTAACATCAAAATTCGTGCACGGATCAATTTCAATATATTTTAAATATAATTTAAATACAATTGAAATAACATTTAAATATAAAATGTTTTTACCACCTATTGTTTGCAAACGTTCTCTTTAACGACCTCATTATTGAATTCGACAGTAAGATAAAGGTAGATTGGTAAAGTGTTTAGTATCATGTTAAAATGATACATTAACAAGTAGATGAATGGTTTACAATGTCATTTATGAGCTACAATGTAATTTAAATACAATATTTCTGGAAAAAATTAGAACTTCTACACGGTAAAAAATATTTTGTACTCGTATTGAGATCAATCCGTGTTGACATTTTTTTGTTTAACATACATGTATGTTAATTTAACGTATTATCGTTGTGTTATTTGGACTATTCTGCGTTGAGTTTATAATCCACCATTTCCAAGTGCTAAAGTAGCACCAATATATCCAAGTTATATTTTTGTATAAATTGTCGACATATTATTTGCGTTACTTGTTTATATATTTGTCTTGTCTTAAATGTCGTGTTAAATTTGTCGTGTTAAATTAACAGGAAAATTCAAGTGGATTAATTGTGACGTGTAAAATTTAACATCAACATTTTCAAGATGTATCGAAATCGGTGGCAAAAGCCTTCTCGCTATCACTGTGTGCTTAGATGCTAACTTCTCTTCGGTATCTTTATTCTTTTAATATGCGCGTTAATATGCAGAATGTACCAGGACGTTTCGAAGCTTCGTCCCAAGCAGAAGTGTCTCAAGAAGAGAGTCCCGTGAACGCAACCGAAGCTCAACTGGCTCAAGCTGAACTGGCCGTCGGCATTATCGAAAGCTCTTCAGCTCGTGCGGAAAGCGAAGCGAGCGTTTCAAGTTTAACCAAAGACAGAACATTCCTTCCGAACGATACGCAGGTCAAGTCAATGAAGATGATTGAAATTCCGAGGCCGAAGAAGATGTTACTTCCGACATTTGACGTGACGGATGATTACGAAAAACCTACGAAGGAAGATCACGCTTTGAAGAAAATCATAAAAACGTTGAAAGAGGACATGAGACACTCATCTTCGGAAGACGAATCCACAAGCGTCGGGCCCGAAATCGGCACGAGCAAACGTCCTGGCGGGCCATTCCCGCGAGAATCGACACATCCAGTGCTTATGAATGCGTCCGATTCCAAGTTAAACGTCGACGTTGTCGCGAAAAACCGACCGACGAGTTCGAGCGAGAGCGCGAGTACGGCTGTGCGCTCGAAGATGCGCTTGGTGGACGGTTCGGTTCCGGGGATTGTGAAGGTCAGGATGCAAAATACGAGTGTCATCGAGGGCGGTGCGACGAGGCTGATCTATTCGGTTCATCTGGACGGTAAGCCCGTTCCGGCGGAAACGGCCGCGAGGGACATGGCGCTCATCTCATCTCAGGAAGTCGCCTTAGAACTTGGTGCGCCGGTGATTATTCAAAGCGAGCGTGAGTGAATAATCTCAATTTACTAAGGGGCGATTTTTGAACGCGAATGTCCATGCTTTGTTGCACTTGTAGCCTATTTGAAGGAGAGTCGACCTTTGGCCCTGTCGCGACAGAGAGACGCCTGGTTGCTGATAGGCGCGGCCAGCGCGGGTGTCATTCTATTAATCATGGTGCTCACCGGTTTGATCTTGGCTGCCAAGAGGAAAAGGGCGCACAGTGCTGTCGTCGCGCCACCAAACAGAAGTATACTGAAGAAAGAACGCGAATATGTAACCGCGACTCCCGGTCTCGACAATACCGCGTTCTCAACGTCGGAAACTGAGATTAAGGTATGCGAAATGTATTATCTTCGTTTCTTATCTCCACGTAATAGATTTAAACCTTCTGGTTCCTTGCCGCGGAATTCTTGTTTGATCTCAGAAGTGAGTAAACGTATGCCCAAAATTCTTGCACGCTATTTTCAAGTAAAAAGGTATTTATATGAAAGAACACTTAAAATCGTTTCAACTTGTAAAATGCTTCGACAACTTTCCTTTTCTCTTGATAGTCAATAAATCGCCGTAAAACTAACGTGACACGCAAGCTCCCTCTTCAACTTACCTTTTCTCATGATTCTGTCACGTTATTTTTACGGCTGTTTATTACTGCCAAGGGAAAAAGATATTTTCGGACCACTTTATAAATATACTCAAACGATCTTAAGTGTTCTTTCATTCAAGATTTTTATTGAATTTTCATTCATCTTTTTATTTGAAAACAGTACGCAAGAATTTTTAGCGTGTCATTTCTCCCTCTGACAGATTCAATATAACCGAATATCTATGATATGTATAAATAGTCGTTGAAACTCGTCCTACGTGAGATACTCAGATTTGAATTTAAAGTTAGATTTGAGTTTTCTACTTGAATTATGTAATATACGTAATATACTTCATTTGCAATCGCGGTTCAGCTAAAAAATTCACGCCTAACTCAAATCATGCTTAATTCAAATCTAGATAAGTCACTTATAACAAGTTTCAATTAACGACTATTAATGCGGCCCTAGAAGCCTTAAAGAAATTTTCTTGATTGAAAATAGCGGCACTCGCACAAGAGTCAGAAACACAGCACATAATCGACCCTACCGACACGTTGCAATTAGCGAACTCTTGTTATAACAATTATATGTTGACAAGAGACGAAGTCCCTTGTCAAATTATATAAAATCGTTCTGTGCAACGTAAAAAATTTCCCGCGCAGATGTCAGAAAGGAGATCACAGATACTCCATGATTCGTGTAAAATCGTTTTATCGCATGTGTAAGTTTACGGGGTACCATAAGAAAACGAGCTCGAGCCATTAAGATACGGCACGCGAACGATCTATAAACAACGTTGGAAATTACAAGGAAGACAATTGTGTTTCTCGATGTCAGGACGATATCGATTCTAAACGAAATATTACTTCCACCCCTCTGGGCGGATCGTATGCTTCTTCTTACGCGACCCACCCTTGTTCGTAGACCGACGGTACCAGTCAGCGGCAAACCCCGCGAACTTTGTCCAGAACTCCGATCACGCCTGACACACCCGACAGTTTGGAGTTAGGCATTCACGAAGTTTCCAGCGACAACGACGAGGAACCAAAGAAGGCTCGCGGCTCAATCCCTTGGAGCGTTCAAGAACATCCAAGTAAAAGAGCAAGGTAATCAACTTAGTGCCTAGCAATCAACTCACAGAGTCAGAGACGATTGCCTTGCCTAATATCGTCCTAAGTCACGTTGCATGAGGAAAGAAAGATCGATAACTATTAATAATTTATAACATTGACAGTTAGTAGGGTCGAGGCGATCAAGCAAAGCGTAACAAACGAGAAAGTTAAACTACAACAATGAAGTCTTTAATCTCACGCGTATACTTGTAGAGTATCGCATGGAAGAATGACGAGAACGAACGCGGTCGATCAGCCCGGAACACCGGACTCATTAGATACAGTGGACGATCACATGGGAACATTAGAGTCCTTGGAAAACGGCTACGTTAAACGGGAGGAATCTACCGCTTCTCCGCGGTCTTATCTGTCAATGCCGTCGTGCAAGCAATTCCCTAGCATGAGAAGCGTCGAGCCACTATCAAGGGTGCTGGAACCTGTCATGGTAAAATATACAATCCAATATTCAAATTTTCAATGTTCAATAGTAAAGATCGAAGATTTTAAGCCAGATCGCGCAAATAAAATATTTAATCGTATTGTACTAGTGATAAAATCTGCTCCTTAGGTCAGGCACTTAGACATTGATTCTCCAGAGTTAGTACGTCATGATAGGAGCGACAATATTGACGACACGTTCCTCGCGAGAACGTCCAGTGCCTCGAAAGATCCCGGAGCCGTAGGACCGATCGTTTGGAACCTCAGCAAGCGATCGCTCTCCGCGGAAGGTAAGCATATCGCTTTTCCAACTTTATATACGCTTGTTACTGTAATTGCGACTATTTAACCTCTAAAGGAGGAGCGATACTATATGGTACCATCCTTTTTTTCGTAAGCTATTAATCAAATCGGGTTAAAAACTTTTATATTCGGAGGTTTTCTGATCACGAATCTGAGGTCAGAATTTCAAAATTCGAAGTGGCGAATTCAATATTGCACATTTTTATACTTTTATATTAGTTTACACAAAAATAAAGTTATACAGATTTCTGGAGTCGCTGATCACGAATCTAAAGTCAGAATTATAAAATTCGAAATGACAGATCTAATATCACTACTGAAATCAATGGTTTTTATTATATGCGGCAATCTTGTAATTTTGATCTTAGATTCGTAATTAACAACTTTAGTAACATGTACGTATTTTAGTATAAAATATATTTGTCTGAAGAGTATCGAAAATCACTATTTCAAGCCGCTATATGGGATTCGCTGTTTTAAATTTTACAATTCTCTGACCTCAGATTTGTGATCAGCAACCTCAAAAACCTGTATTACTTCATTTTCATGTACATTGGCTTAAAAATAAAAAAATCTGCAATGCTGAATCCACTGTTTTAAATTTTGAAATTCTGATCTCAGATTTGTAATCAGCAACCCCAAAGACCCTCATATACAAATTTATATACAGATTAAAGAAATTTTGTAAAAAAAGAAACTTTCCTATTCTTTAAAGGTTAAATTTTCTAGTTTTTATCGCCGTGGCCATGTTAGATCGTGACGTCAGAGACGAGAAATAAAACGTTAAAAATTCTTGCGTGCCATTTTTAAATAAAAACATATTTATATAAAAGAATATGTAAAATCACTTGAGCATACTTGTAAAATGTTCTGAAAACTATTCTTTTTTCATGATAAGTAATAAATTTCCTTGATTAGCAATAAATAGCTGTAAAATAAGCGTGGCAAATTCACGAGAAAAGATAAGTTAAAGAGAAAGGTTGCATATGTTATGTTAATTTCACGACTATGTCGTTCATACAAATTTATGAACTTATTTATACAAATATCTGTTTAAATATCTATTTAAAAATAGTTCGCAAGAATTTTGGATATATATTTTTTCATTTCCAACGTCATCAATTAAAAGTTCCACGGCGAAGGACCGGAAGCCTTAAACATAACAACGACAAAGCCAGCATTTCTACGGTTTCGATTACGAACGAATGAATGATAACATCGTATCAACTGCTGCATTGCAATAAGAGAAGCTACGATGACTTGTTCGCTCGCAATCGGTTACTGTAGCGCGTGAGGAATATACATTTCTTCACACAATCTCTCGAAAGACTCGACTTATTTAAAGGTAACGGTACGTCCGAAACGGATATCGATGGAATGTACAATTTACCATCGGGACCCGTGGGTCGCGCCAGGAGAAGACTCCATGAACTCCTCGAGGACTCCTTCAGCCTTTTCGGTAGCAGAGACGCCAAGATTAAAGAGCCGCAATCGCAAACGTCGCAGCCACCGAGTGCCGTTGCGCGTACAGCAGACACACTCACGATATTCTCGGAGACGAGAGGCAAATCCGCTCACGTCAGGTACATATACTTCCTCTACTTCCTCTTCCAACAGGTAATTGTTGCTATCCAAGCGTATACATGCACATTTCCTTATTCCTTAGAACAGTTTTCCAAAGTATCTCGAGAGTCTCAGAATTAACTTGTAATAAAATGAATGACTTGATGATAAATTAGATAATAATAACATATTACAACCAACAATGTATAACTCTTCATATAAATATATCACAACACAGACGTAGAATTTGAGTAAACGATATAAATAATTCAATGATCATCTAGCCCAGTAGCAACGCCAACGATGGAAATGAAAACACGACCGCGTACGGGTTTGCCACGTAGAGGTCTCGATGAGGATATCCCGGAGACGGGTCAGACCGGGCCGCTTCATCCTCGCGGTGCTTGGGGTTCAAGGCCACTTAGTGCAGGACCGTTCCATCGACCGGCCCTGCCAGAAGTGGACACCAGACGCATATTAACAGAAAGTAGACTTCCGCCGGAAGATCCCGCGGTACCTTTAATTGCGTCAATCAAGAAAGAACTGGAGAAGTTCTCACCTCCATAGGATATACGAGAACGCGATATCAGCCTAAATCTCCGTCTACAAAATCATGTACTACTCGTAAATTAGTGAGAACAGTGTGTAAATATCTTTGATTAACTTTTTTCACAAGATTTTATATCTCGTCGTCGAAGAGTTTCTCTTATGTATGGACTATGATGTAGCAAACGGAAATATTTCACACATAAATATCTCGTAGAAGCATAAGCATATTGCAGAAAAAGACAAAGATAAATTGTGCTGTAGTCTTGTCATTACAAATCGAAATTGTACCGAGCTACCATCGAGCTGTTAACTTATTATATAATCAGCTGTGACTGTATATATTATTGGACAAATACACATTAGTGAAACTTGCTACACACAATTTCAAGTAGAAAGTTCGACTGATTAATTAAATTACGAAGGAAATTACGACAAAAATATTTGTGACTGATCCGTCCAATGTAGAAATGTATTTATAACTGAAGTATATACAATAAATTTAAATATAATGTCCCTTACTATTATTATATTAAATCAGTCTTCAAATATAATATGTAACAACTTTTCTTATTAAATCTATCTTATAAAATAATTGTATATAACATTAATTTTCACGAAAAACGCAAAGAGAGCTCATGGTACTGATTGCTTTTTCATTAGTTGATTTTTAGTACTTCCACGAAACGATCATTATTACAGAAATCTTTGTACGTGTGTTCGTGATGCAGCTTCAAATCGGAATATTTATTTGTGAAAAATTTTATGTACTTTGGATGAGTAGGATCAACTTCCAAAAAGAGACGTCCGCCAGGTTTTAACACCTTAGCAGCATATCTTAAGAGTGGTTTGATGATCTTCAGTCCATCATCGCCACCATCCAACGCCTTGAGATCTTCATAACTGCGTAAAAAATACATTTCTCATTATTCATGTTTAGTTGCTGAAATTTTTGCAAATATTCTTTGTACAGAGTATTGAATCAACATATTGATCACTATGATAGGTTGCTTATTCGCTTCACTGGCAGATGTGTGTACCCAGACATAGACTCCGCTCAAACTTGGCAATATATTCGTTTGCAAAAACAGATTACACTTATTTTTATCACTGAAGCAAATATGAAAAGAGTTGCAAACTGCTTTACCCATTATACTGATCTGTATGTTGATGCAACAACTTGTACATTACATTTTTATCTCAGGCTCTAGTTCAAATATTTTCTTCGTCGGTACATATGGTGGATTACTGACTACGAAGTCAAACTGCTTCGAATTCAAATCCACGTTGCCGGCACCATTGAAGGTGCTCGTAACTTCAATCGTGGCGTCCGACTTCAAGGTCGCGTGTAACACTACGATTTGATCCGTCAGGTTCAGTGTGTTTCGATTTGCTATCGTCAAGTCGCAAGCGTGTTGATTGGCATCGATCGTTGTGCACTTTATCTACGCAAAAGTATGCGTCACTTTTTATTTATTATCTTATACCCATCAAAGTGCAAAACAGTACGATAAAATAATAGCACATTATGTATCAGTTGCTAAAGAATTTGCAACTTTTTATTGCGACCCCTGGTAAAATAGTTTATAGAGAACGATAGAATAAAATTCTATCGTTCTATCGTTTTCTATCGTTTTAAATATGAATTTTGATTCGTGAATTTACAAAATGTGAATAGTATTCTATCGTATACAATAGAATACAATAGATAGTGATAGGATTTCTATCGTTAGTTTCTCATAGAACACAAAATCGTGTATAATCAGATAAAATACGATAAAATACGATAAGATTCATATCTGAACTTACGAGTGAGAACAATACAACTTAATAAGAGAAAGAAAATAAGAACTCAATAACGATGATATCAATTAAATAATAGGAAAAAGGGCTAATTCAAGTTCAAGCACAGGATTAATAGTGTTATATACCATATGGGTAAAACTTTCCTTGTGTTAGGAAATAGAGCAATATTTATTGAACATGAATACTCAATATAAATAATCAAACGTTTCGGCTCAATCATGAACCCTCTTCAGTGATATAAAAAAAACTCAAGGTTTACAAAACGAACGCATTACAAGTAAAAGAATTAATTAAAGACCTTAATAAAATGACATGAATGTTATTCGCAGTATTATAGCTGACAAGACCGTTACCCGACTAATATTAAGAAGTTCAAATTAATACTAGGAAGTAGCCGTCATAACTATAAAAAAAACCATAAAATAAAATAAAAATAGGTAAAATTAAAATATAATAAATAATTAAAACGGTCAATATAAATTACCTTTGTTGAGCTCGGCTAAAAGTGAAACGATCCTGTCAACGATAACATCGCTAAGTAAAAGAGATAATAACAGATTTATATACACGAGCATTAACATTACGGTGACGACTCTTGGAAGAGAAGGAAACAAACAAAGTTTTATTTTCATAATAAGCCGCAGTAGCTGTTGCCCAAATATTCTGTGTCCTTTTGAGAGTTAAGTCCATGCTTTTGAAATTTAATGTAAATTATTTCTGATATCAGGCGTTTCAAGTAATAACGTTCCTCATGCAAAACTTTGGTTTGATCCCAATTGAAATCATGGTTTTTTTTCAAACGGTGTTCTTGTATGGCCGTTAACTCAACTGTAGAACTCCTTGGTATTCTCCTATGCTCAGCAATGCGCGTAGAGAGTCTTCTACTAGTTTGACCAACATACGACGCCTCACAACTATTGCATTGCAATTTATAAATAACGTTATTATGGAAACCAGGAGGCAACCTGTCTTTATGCACACGAATTATTCCTGATAATTTATTATTGCAAGAATAAGCAATATTTGTCAAATTATTTTTAAAAAGCTTTGCCAGTCTGTTTGAAACCACATCAAAAAACGGTATGGTAAAATATTTTTTATCATAACCAGATGCTGTCAAATTTGTTTTAACTATCTCTGAACCTCGTCCGCAATTCAATAAGAAACCTCAGTCTACGTTTTATAATTTTAAAAATTAGATCCAAAGGATAATTATTATTAATATCTTGATTCTAGTTCAAACGTTTGATTATTTATATTGAGTATTCATGTTCAATAAATATTGCTCTATTTCCTAACACAAGGGAGGTTTTACCCATATGGTACATAGCACTATTAATCCTGTGCTTGAACTCGAATTAGCCCTTTTTCCTATTATTTAATTGATACAACTTAAAATTGATTGCGCTATCAATTTGAATCATTTTCTTTAAACTGTATCGTTCTCGCTCGCAAGCTCAGATATAAATCCTATCGTATTTTATATGGTTATACACGATTTTGTATTCTGTAGGAAACTAACGATAGAAATTCTATCACCAACTATTATATTCTATTATATACGATAGAATACTATTCACATTTTGTAAATTCACGAACTAAAATCCATATTCAAAACGATAGAAAAAATTTTATTACCAGGGACTTTAAGTTGTTGGAATTGAAAGCCACTGTCGACATGTGCAGTAATCTAATGTATAAATACACAAAAATTATTTCTCAAAATAAAATGTTCTCTCGATTTAAAATACATTTTTCCTTCTAAATTTTATAAAAGCCATACTCTGTTACCTCAGTAACCGTCCCTATCTGATTACTGTACAGACATATCAGTAGTTTTTAGGCTTTCAATTCTGACAATTTGAAACTTCGATAAAAAATGTACAAACCGTTTAGCAACTGAGTAAAATTGAAAGCAAAACAGTTTGAACACTTTTTTTAATGAAGTTACTAACCTATCTAGTTGTCACATTTGAGAAGCACTGTTCACAAGTACTAGATTATCCAATTCTTCAAGTACTATACTATTGTAACAGTTTAATCCAGAATACTCTCGAATGTATTAACACATTTTTAATAAAAACGTTGATTTAATAAAATTTACTTCACATCACGTATTTCAACACGACAATACTTCACGTATTGTCTTCTCGATTCTTGTCATAACTGATCACCTCGCAAGTTCATGAACAGTGATTTTCAAATATGACAACTTGTCACTAATTTCACTAGAAATAACAAGTGTTTAATGCATTTTGATTTCGACTGTACCTTCTTACAAGCGTGAGCAAGTGCTAATGAAATAGCACCGGAACCGCAACCAATCTCTAAAATCTCAGAACTTTCAGCTTGTGACAAGTTTAGTCTTTTTAAGACGAAATCCACTAATATTTCTGTCTCAGGGCGAGGTATAAAAATTGGTGGTGCTAGTTTCACGGTGATGTCCCGAAAATCCCATTCGCCAATAATATATTGCACTGGCATCCTGTGAGGATCTGGCATTTATGAATGAGCATGAAAAATTCCATACATTACAGCCTATCTCTACAAAGATGAGATACTTTTCATTTAAGCGACCATGATGAAAGGTTCATTTCTTACCTCGACAATCGGCATTCGCACAGTAATTCTAATTTCTTGATCTGATTAGCGCTGAGTCTGTCGTTTTTCATGTTTAAAACATCTAATGTCTACAAACAATAAAAGAAAAAATTAGAATTCTTTCTTCATCTCTATATTTCAATATAGTAGATGTAAGTTTACATAATATTAAACTTCTACATTAATCTTTCTAGATAGTCTTATGCAATTCTACCTCTCTTACAGAAAATCTCTTAGGTTCAAATTTTACTAGCAGCACGATCGGCCAATATTGAATTTATAACAATTAAGACATAACGACCCAGGATCTAAAACAGTTAACTGCTGGCCAACTAATATGCACGAGTTTTTAGATAATTTGGAAACAAAAATCAATAACATATCTAGGTTTAATACTTTTGAAATAATAACTTGGTTCCACAATTTATTTTAACTGGAGTTTACTCAAAAACTAAAGACAAATTCGGATAATCACATATTGCATATACATAAGGAAACTAATCAATCACGACTCTTACGATAAAAAGCATGAAAGATTCCATGTATTAAGTGTAATAAAAGAATGCTTCTTAAATTAGACATATCTTATATTAGATTGGTTAATTTTTTTATACATATGAATAATGCGACTGTGCAAGTTTCTACGGATAGACCTTTAATAAGCTAAACTCCAGTTAAAGTAAGTTGTGGAACTGGGTCTAAGCCATTAAAGTTGTCAAGCCAATCAAAGTTCGCGCGTCAATAATGTATCGAAATGCCTATGACGCATATCAATTTAATTGACAATAAACTCCATACAGCGAATGTCGTTAATGTACTCTCTCGAATGAAAGAGTAGTGGTCGATACCTTCTTGGTTCCTATAACGTGCGCTACTATGTGTTCTATCGACTCTACCGGTTCCGGTATGCCCTCGGTCTCGAATCGATGACTCCATTGATCGATAATGTCGCCGATTGTACTTTCACGTGCGTTTGAAGCGATTGCACGTCGCATTGAGTGTCTAAACGGAACAGTGTTGAGTGATTCACCAGGAATTACATTAGGAGTCTCAATAGCGTTGAGCCTATTACTTGTCAAGTACCGCAAGTATGTGAAAATAGCTGTCTTGTTGGAAATAACACGCGACCCTAAAATACCTCGACACCACATGTTGTCTAACTGAACAGAAATTGCACGTGTAAAAGATGATACTGACGCTGTGCCATCAACTGATGGACTCGCTAGGAATTACATATTTCGACCTCAGCTACACGCGAGAGCTGCTGCCAGCTGGCGGGAATATTGATTGAGTCGTTTATCGACGATGAGGAACAAGATCGTATAAGAATACAATGAACTAATCTGTTACCGGATCAAAGAGCAAAATATTGCAAATCTAGAAATTGATACTTTTACGTAATTAGTTATATACCAATAGTTTTCGACCAATAGTTTTCTTTTTTATTAGAGAAAGAAAAATATTTTTAAATTTCCAGCCAAACTTGTACCATCAGTATAATATGTTCTTTCTAAAGTATGTGTTTTTTTCTTTTTTTTTTTATTAAATACACTACAATTATGCAAACAATTAACCAATTACTTAATTAATACACCTTACCATCACATTGTATCTGTTGAAGTTATATGGAAAACCCCATTTCGGACCAAGCTGGATGAGCCTTGGACCGACTGACGGTGAAGTCATTCCCTGGCTCTGTTTCTGCGGCAGCCCAGAATACGGCTGGCAGACCTAGAGTCAAAGACCTCGTTAGGTCGGCTTCAGAAGATGCCGCTACAGCTGTGTTCTGCCGGTGGATCGAAAGGTCTCCTTATGCACGCATGCGCGGATCGGGAGTAGCTGTTTGGAAAAGAAGGGTGCTGGCTAACAGGCCGTTGTCTGGCCAAAGGCGCTAGCAGTTGCCACCGGCCCCGCTCTCCATCCGCTACCATGACAATTCTTCGTGTCGCAGCGAGTGCACCGTGTCGCAGCAACACATTTAAAGAGCGTCGTTTGACGCCCGACTGATGTCCGCGGCCGCATCGCGTCGCGTTGCACCGTGAGGAGGTCGACCGAGATCATCTCGGCTGGGTCGTCACGGTGCTAGAGTCGTAGCGAGCCACACGCGTGCCGACCAGGTCGACCAGACGCGGTTTCCCTGGGCGTGCTGCTGATTGTCAGCGTGGCGGATCTGGCGTGGAGCGCGAGGAACGCGCAGGAGAGCCAGCGAGTGAGCGAGCGCGCGCGTCCGGAGCGAGCACGCGTCGTGGGTGCTCGTGAATGACGTGTTGTGGTAGCGGTGTGTTGTGACGCGTGTCTCGTCGACAGCCACACGTTGGCTGTCAGTTCCGGGACACATTGTGTACCGTGTACGAGTGGAACGCCCGCGGAAGGTATGCGTCAAGGTACAGGCAGCTAAGCTCTCGCTCTTCTCGGGTCGATCGATGCGCCTCGTCGAACCCACGTAGGTAAAGTGCCCCGCCGCTTCTTTGGGAGGTCTAGCCGTGATTTCGACTGCTTTTTCTTTCTCTCTCTTCATCTCTCTCCCTCACTCTTATTCTCTCCCTCCTCTCTCTCCCTCTTTCTCACCTTCTCCCTGTAAAAAATAAAAGTGCCGCGTGCGTCCCGTAATAAAGTGCAAAGCTGAACGAGTACGCGGCATCGATCGCAGGCGAGACGGTCGAGACGTTCTGAACAGCTCACTGGAAAGGTCAAAGCATCGGCCTGCTACGGAAAATTCAGCGAGGTCGCACGACCTGCGCCGGAGCACGGGGTACGTCGCAAAAGATGCGGCGTCGGGACACCAGGTACTTGGGACTCGAACAGTATCGATACTATTCGAACGACTGGTCGGAAAAGTCGGGATCTTTCTTCACCGCGAAATTCTAACAGCGAGCTTCCGGCGCGTTTCACGCTGCACTCCGAAGTGCACGCGAAACCGAGCGAAAATCTTGATGCACACGTCGTGGCATTGATCGCGAGTGCAGGCGGCCGGGGGATTTTCGGGAACGAGATGCGAGACGAGCGCGTGCTACCGTAAAATTCGGCCGCGCCGATGAGCTTGCTGGTTGCGCGAAATCGATCGACGGCACGCATGCAAATTCACCGTACACCAGCAGACTTCTCCGAGCCGGCTTCAAACGAAGGAGCGCGGAGTAAGGTGTGGTGGAAAAGCGAACGTGTGTCCTTACGCTCCGCCGCGCGCTAATAGCGCTGGTGCTGTGCGTGCGTCCGCGTCTCCCGCGCGAGAGAGAATGAAATTTAGCAACACGCATCACGTTCGTACAAATATTTATTTGGTCGTAGATTCATCGTACACTTCTCTCCGCGCACACGGCAGTGTGATAATTCAATGACGTAAAATCGACGCTTGCGTAACGCGCTGCGCGTGCTCCGATTATGTTTAAATTCTCTCCTCATTCGAGGCTGTGTGCGGTGAGTACTATATGCGGAAACGCAGCATTGCAACCGGGTTGGAATGTGTGTCGCGTTAATAACAGTTCGCTCAATTGTGGCCTTTCTAGTTTTCTCGTGGACACGCTCTCGTAGCGCCAAGGACGACCGCGGCTGTGATTTCTGTAAAATATGAGTAACAGGTGCGAAGGATCTCTCTCGGCGTGCACATTGACGCGTCTCGGTACTGCTGTCACGTCTGAAGCGTGTCCAGGCCTGTCGGCTAATTGAATGGCGAAATGAACGGTCGACCGTCGATCCCGTCGACTAACGTTCCCGCGCAATGAGGGATACGTGCGTGCCAATAATCGCGGAGATAACGGGGGGACGCGCGGTTTGATAATAAGACACGCGGCCGGCCTCGCGCCCGTTCCTCGCTTTGCGCGTTCACTTGGCGCGAGACGCGTTTCTCGATGCGCAGCTTCGACAATTTTCTTATCTGGCTTATTCGGCGAGCGTAACGCGACGCGGTGGGAATGCGAGGGCAGCGTATTTCGCGAGAGAACACGTTATCTTGGAAGGGAGAATAAATAAATAAATAAACAACAATTGCTTCGTGCTTCACGGTGAGAGTCTGTCAAACGATCTCGCGTGCAACGCGCGCATACGCATACACGCCAAACGATCAACATCTTCGTCGTTTCTTTCACGCTTGTGCCGTCATCGGCGTAATGAACAAGGAGGCGGCATCGCGAGAACTCGCCGCCGCCGCCCCATTTCCGCATACCTCGCGGTATCGAGTGCCGGAAGCGTCCGGCCATGAAGAAGCAGTTCGCCGCGCGTTCGGTTCACGCCCTTGCGTATGCACGTCATATCCGGGCGACCTCCAGCCGCGGCTGGTACTGACAGTGCACGCGGGAGTTCAATGTCGAGGAAATCCTAGAAACATATTGAGATTTTATCGCGTTCTAAGAGCGCTGCACAACTTTTTCGCACGCGGGTTAAAGCTCTTGATCACTCACCGCGATACTCTCAATTAGTGACATTGGAAACAAGAAAACGCATGCCCAAAGTTCTTGCGAAATACGCCGAAATAAAAGGAAGTGTCCATGAAGTGGCGCTTGAGATCGACTGAACACATTTGTAAAATATTGCGATTGACCAATGATATTAATGTCAGGTTATTAAGAAAATGAAGAAAAGAAGATATTTCTTTCTTTTTGTTACAATGAACAAGTAACCGTAAAATTGACATGGTATGCAGCTTTTCTTTTTAACCTACTTTTCCTCAGTATTTTGTCACATTAACTTTACGGTAGCTGTTCGTTGATTGTTAGGATATAAAGGGAAAATTTTCAGAATATTTGGCAAATGTGACATTTTGTAACCTTTTTCATTTCAGCGTATCCCGCAAGAATTCTAGGCGAATTTTGCTCACTTTTTTTCGTTATTAATCGAGATGGCTACGGCGAAAAGCCTTAAGGAGAGACGCAGGTTTTAGATTCGTTCTGATCGGCTCCGAGCGCCCGTGGAAAACGCACCGTTCGCGAGAGCGTCTTCGCGAGCTCTGTTAACGTTTGTCTGAATGAACTTTTAGGGGACAATCCCGAGAGCAACTCGATGTACGCAGCGCCGCCGTCGGTCAATAGGGTGCACTGGTGCGCTTCAGGGCGAGCCGGAGCATTGGGAGTTTCCTCGGGCGAACAGAGCCGTTCGCTCCGGAACAAATTGTGACAGACGGCAGCTTTCCCAAACCGTAAGTGCCGGCGTCTCGGTGGTGACGACGAGGCGATGCGGCGCGTCGTCTCGCACGGTTAATTATTCGCGTGCGCGTGCGCGCGCGCGCTCGTCGATCGCTCGCTCGAGCGAGTCGCGGGCACACACCCTCGCCGATTGTTCCGATGAACGGTGCTGATCGCGGTACACTCGCGCACACACATATATATGCTACGAGGTGCGAGAAATCGACTGTCCGCGATTGCGCGTAGGACCACGAGCACGTTCGAGCAATCGAGAAACGAGATATCGTATGTTATCTCTTTCTCGCGTTCGGCTTGGGACGTTTAGCGTGTGAGAAGATGTTTAACTTTATGAAGAAGGCCGCGGAGAAGGACGATAAGGAGAAGCGGAAGCGCGAGAAGAAGGAACGGAAGGATGTCAAGAAGCGCGATCGCAGCAGCATGTCCGCGGAGGAACTCCTGCGATTGGACGAGGTGAGCGCGCGAGAATTCTTCTCGCGGGGATTTCATATAGAAGCGATATCGCGGTCTTTTACCCCTTTTCCCACGACAAACGATGCCATTTTATTTTTCTGGATGCATCGACGCGCGTTCGCATTCGCAACCGCGTGCGTTACGTCAATCGCCTGGCTTTCGTGTCGGGCTGCAAATGTGTGCGCGCTTGGTTATCGCGCTTGTCCGATGACAATGTGGGTGTGCATTGATATTGCTTGTGATTCATGAGTTGCACATAGATATCGATATCTCGTTTGGACTACATTCTTTTTTTATCGTCGTTAAAATTGTCATTAAACAACGTTGCGCGGATAACTGAAGACGATAAAGCTTTTTATATATAATACAAAAGAGAAAGAACCCTCTTTCACTCTCTTCCCTCCCATGCGCTCTCTTTCTTCAGGCCGCTATGTTATTAATAAATCAATGACGATAGAAGTGTGAAATAACAGGCTCCTCGATGTACAATCGCAAAAAACGAAAAACTAAAGCTTAAAAAAGAGTTAACACTGGATCGTAGTTATGATTTTAATATAATTTAATATTCTTTTATTCAATGAAAATATCTATTTAAACGTGTATTTACGTGAATAAATGAATATTAAGGAGTCACATCATTTTGAGGCACTAAAAA